ATTTCTGACTTGTCAAACATTTTATTTAACTACCATATTCTGATTTTGCTAATATCTTTGAACTAAACTGATATAAGTAATAATATTAGACAAATATATACCAACTATATCAAATTGTCTTTTTATATTATATGAAAGAATAACTCCTGTATTATCCAAATGTACCTGAATTCTTGCTAAAGAAGCTGAAACCTCAAACTGCCTATCTAAAATAGCTTATATTATATGTTCTATATCTAATATTTCTTTATTATTTGAAACTTTTTTTTAACTTAGTCCAGTTATTTCATAAATATGAGTCTTAAATTGCTCAACCTTATCTTCTAGCCTTAAAATATGGATATCTTGTGCAGTAATAGCATTACCTTTATACCTTAAATCCTATAATGCTTTGTGAAGACGCTGTTTAAGAGATTTTATCTCAGACTTAAGAGATACTATCTCACTTTCGTTAGCTAATATTGCTGAATCCTAGTGAGATAATGTTCTATAACAGATTTCTAGCTCTCGTTAAGTGCTTTGAGTTTTTATCCTTAAGTTTGTTTTTGGTTATTTCATCTTTCAATTCTTTGCATAACTCTTTATTAGTATCTAAGATTTCAATATAAACTGATTCCATGGCATTAATTCTTATTATAAAAATAGATTCAGGTGAAGCTCAAAAACTTGATGTATTTATTGATTTGCAAAAGATTTATTATCAGCCTTCAGGTTATCAGAGGACTGCGAAAAAATTGTATGAAGCTTCTCTAAATACTGGGTTTGATTTACTTTAAATGAAGTACGTGATTGGCTTGAGGAACAAGCTGTGCATCAGGTTCATAAACCTTATCCTAGAAATATTCCAAGTGCATCTTTCATTAATGTTACTATACCTATAGAGGTTATTCAAGCTGACTTATGCTATATGTCTTATGATCAAATTGGAAATAAAATTTATAAATTTGCACTTAACTGTGTAGATATTGCTATTCATACAAAATAGACCTGTCTCTTAACCAACTATGATTCTGCTAGTATTGCTATAGGATTTGAAAAACTTTTTAACTCCCAAAAATATCCGCTTACTTAGTCTAAAAAAGATCTTATGGTGGATGTGGGTGTTGAATTTCAGGGTGATGTTATTAGATGAATGAATAAATATGGTATCAATATTCTAATAGCTAATTCTAAAGAAAGTATTGGTATTGTTGAAAGGTTTAATAAGACATTACAAGAATAGTCATCTATTATTCAAGATGCTGTTAATATGAGATTACCTATATCATAACGTTGTCAAGCTTGGGTTAGAAACCTTCCAATTTTTCTTAAGAATCTTGATAATTCTATGACTTGTCTTCTAAGTATTTCTCCTGCTAATGCACAAAAACTGAAGCATATTTATGCAAAACCTTTTAAGCTTGAAATAGGCCTATGGGTTTGATGAGAAGCGATTATTAATATAGTAGAAACTTTTATTTAAAATAAAATATTTATTATTACTATGATTGGTGAATATTCTTACAACTATTTACTTTAAACTGGTGACATTTGTAGGTATACCTGTTATCGATCATTAGGGTGTCATGAACTTTGGAAAGTTAGGAAGTGTCTTACTTGTACAGTTTGTGATAAGTTGACTAGCTCTAAGCCTGGCCTTTGTAGAAAACATGTTAGTATTTATTATGTGAACCAGTATATTAATAGGCTTCAGGATAGAGCCATGAGTACTTATTGGAAGGCAAATTATGGTTGAAAATTTTACATCTAGTATTAAGACATATGAAAATTTTACACCTAACCCAATTTTTTTTACACCTAAGGTGAAATTTAGCAATCCTAGCTTTATGTAAAGGAAATAGCTTAAGAATAGTTTACTGAATATTGAGAAATCATTAGTATACTAGAACTTGATCTAGAGCTTTTAGACTTTCTTGTACATATACACCTATGATCAGTATAGGTGTAAATTTTTAGTATTGCTAGCTGATAATGAATCAATTTTAGAATTAATTTTAGGATATCATGAAATATGGTATGCATTTTAGGCTTACATGATTGGATTCAATTCAAATCACGTCACTTTGTTTTTTGATTTTGATGGATCCTCTAAAGGTAAGCAGAATATCATAAAAGTTATTATTCATATTGGGTTTGCAATGTCAGGCCCAGCTCAAATTGCATCACTTTGTTCCTTGATTTTTGATGGCCCCTTCTGAGGCAAATAAAATAGTAAATTTTTTTTTGATATATTATTTGGGATTAAAAATAGGCTAGAATAGTTAAAATAGATTGTATTCTTTTTAGCTTCTGAAACTAAGATTTTATACCAAGAAGGGGTTATTAACAGGATTTAAGCCAAAATCACGCTAGAGGCTTTAATTCAATAGTTGATTTAAATATACTAGAATAGATTGGAAAAAGGTTTGGAGATCTATTTTTGGGTATCATATGATTTTGATCTCAGAACTCCCATATTGGCCCTACTTATAAACTATAACCTATAGTTATTTAATGAAACTTTTATTATAGAAGACTTCCAGTTTAATCATTGAGGTAAGGTTATTACACTCCTATCAATAATAACTTGTGATCTAATATTTATAGAATAATATAATTTGTTCATTATATCATTTCAATGAGTAGAATCAAATAATATAAATATTATAAATTTTAATATTATCAAAATATGTTTATTTTTTATATATATAAATAAATTTGTAGAGCTGTAATTAATATATTATTAGTTATAGTCTTATTATAAATAAAGTTAATAAATGGTAATCCTAACAATAATGAATCATAATTTTCTATTATTTATTTAATTTAGATATTTTAAATTATTTCTATAATTTTTTAGCAATCTATAATTTCTTATATTTTTTTAATATCTTTAATTTTTTTATTTTATTATATCTTTTTACTTTATTAAATATTTATTTCATATTGATATATTTTATATAAATATTCTGTATATTTGCCTTGATAAATGGTAAAGTCATTACAAATCTCTAATAATTAATAACAATTTATTACTAAAACTTATCTTTACTCGTTTACAATTCATTTTTCTTTAAATCTATATTAATAAATTAATAAAGATGATCTGATCCTTCAATATAATTAATCTGTATTTATTTCTTTTATAATTTAGATATAATTAAACTCTTTGTTAGCAAATACATTCTATTAACTTAATAACGTACTATTTAAGTTTAACAATATTGCAACTTTTAATATTGCAACATATGTTATAATTAGTTTTAACTAATATATATTACAACTTATATTGTTGCAATATATTTTGCAATTAATTTTAGCATAAGTTATAAATATGAAATTAATTGCTATACCATCACTAGTCAAAATAATCCATTTCGTCACTTTTTTAAAGTGCTGAATGTTGGTTAAAATATAGTCTAATTTCTGCTGATTATAGCCAAATAAATCAGCATTTTTAGTTATAGCTGATGTTGCCCATTTTTATATCACATAAAAACCATTCAAAATTAATGATTGGTAGTTATTTGATATATCACTAGGCAAAATAATACATTTGTCATGTTTTAAAATACTGAAAGTTGGCCAAAATATAATCTAATTCTGCTAATAATTACCAAAAAATTAGCATTTTAAATAAATAAAAAGTTGGCTATTAATCAGCATTTATGTTAAAAATTGGTCAACAATCAGCAAAAATCAATTAAGCAACAATTTATAAAATCGAAACTAATAAAACTCATTTTTGTTTATTTATAATTTTATTTTATTATTACATAATAAATTACTCAAAAAGGTATTACATTTTATTCAAAAAATACATTTGATTTTTTAAAGATAAGAAAAATAAAGAAAACAGTTAGAAAACCATGAAAATACAATTTCTGAAAGACTTATCTTAATGTATTCCTAAAAAAAATAAAGAAAACATAAAGAAATCAGTTAGAAAACCTATCAAAATACTACTTTCGAAAGGTTTACCTTAATGTATTTCTAAAAAAAGTAAAGAAAAAATAAAGAAAACAGTTAAAAAACCATCAAAATATCATCTCTGAAAGGCTTATCTTAATGTATTTCTAAAGAAATTAAAGAAAAAATAAAGAAAACAGTTAACAAACCCACTAAAAACTACTTCTGAAAGATTTACCTTAATGTATTCCTAAAAAAATGTAAAGAAAAATAAAGAAAACAGTTAAAACTTCTTATAAAATCACTTTGATTTACTTACCTCAATGCATTCCTAAAAAAAAGTAAAGAAAAATAAAGAAAACAGTTAACACTCATTAAAAATTACCTCTGTAAGTAAAGATGGGTATCATAATTAAGAAGTTGCAACTCGGTAAGTTGCAACTCCTTGTAAATTTATTTTAATATAAAAATTCATAAAATGTTACAACTCAAAGTGCTGCAACTTAAGTTGCAACTAGTTAAAAATTTTAAAAATAATTATGGGAACCATCTTTATCTATAAGGCATATCTTAATATATTTCTAAAAAAAATAAAGAAAAAATAAAGAAAATAATTAAAAACCACTAAAAACCTCCTTTGATTTACTTATCTTAATGTATTCCTAAAGAAAGTAAAGAAAAAATAAAGAAAACAATTAGAAAACTCATTAAAAACCACCTTTGAAAGGTTTAACTTAATGTATTCCTAAAAAAAAGTGAAGTAAAAATAATTAAAATAGTTAAAAACCCTTTAAAAATTATTTTCAATTTACTTACCTCAATGTATTCCTAAAAAAAAATAAAAAAAACAGTTAAAATCCACTAAAAACCACTTCCGTAAGGCTTACCTTAATGTATTTCTAAAATAAATAAAGTTAAAAACTCACTAAAAACCTCCTTTGATTTACTTACCTCAATGTATTCCTAAAAAAAGTAAAGAAAAAATAAAGAAAACAATTAAAAACCCATTAAAAATCACCTTTGATTTACTTACCTCAATATATTCCTAAAAAAAATAAAAATAAAATAAAGAAAACAGTTAAAAACCATTAAAAACTATTATAAAACGTGCTCTATAGTACCCTCTGTGTATAATGTCCCTCCTTCTGGAGTGGCTTAGAATGTAAAGTATTCCAGATACTATATATTGTGAATGTCAGACCTCCATGTAAGTACTCGGGTACTATAACCTGATATTGATATACAATACCACACATTAATGTTAATAAATGTATAAATTTTTTAATTTTTATTAATATAAAATATGATAAATATTTATCAAATGTAAAAAATAGTTTTTATTATTACTAATAAAATGCAAGTTATTTTTTTTCAAACATTTACATTATCTAAATTAATGCTAATTAATTCCAAGTATTTTCATAACCAGCAACAAAATCATCATATATGGTATCTTCAAACACCACATCATCACCTAGATTATTATTTTCATCATTTAGAAAATCATAATCAAAAATAAAATCATCTTCTGTGCCATCTTTTGCTACAGAAATAAATACCACAGCATTTGAAGGATTTTTTGATTTTTTCAACATTAATGCTATCCAAGCAACCTTAACCAATTGTGCTACTTTATTATAAGCAGGCCTTTTAATTCTTCCAGCAGAAGTAAGTTCATGAACTTCTTCAGACATCCATTCATTATATAATTTGTGAATCTAATAAAACAATAAAATTATTAAATAAATTAAATTTTAAAAAAATAATCATAAAAAAAAATTTATCTTAGATTTGAATATTTTATTGATTCCAACATCTAATGGTTGAAGTCTACCAGTTAACCCTCCAGGAATTACTGTAATATTTGTTTGTTTTTCATCAAGTCTATTTTTAATATTATTAACCAAATGACCATGAAAAGAATCAAATATCAAAAGACTTCTTGGATTATTATTTGTACATACCACACATTTTCAATTCACTAAAGCATTTCTTTTTCATTAACCCAACCTTTTTCATTAACACGAATTTTAACTCTATTAGAAAAGATTTCACAAGGAATATTTTTTAATTTGAAAATAATTACAGGTTCTAATTTAGTACCATCTGCCATACATGTCAAAACTATTGTAAAATAATTTTTTTCATGACCAGTTAATCTAATACTGACAGTTTTAGATCTCTTTGATTCTAATGTTGTTGAAGATAGTAAATCAAAACTGAGAGAAGTTTCATCAAGATTAGCAATTAAATTGAGAGGATAATCATATTGTATACACCTATAAAGAATAAAACTCAAAAATAAATGCTATTGTTCAATTAAATTTTCTAGTAATTTTTGGGAAATAGTTGTTCTTCTTCTATTAGATAAGTTATTTCTACTAATAAAATCATCTAACCACTTGTTAGAAAATTTAAAATTTTGAATTGTTAGATAAAGTTGTTTTATTTCATCAGTTTCTGCTATTTTTTTTTGCTTTTTTCACAACCATATTACAAATTACAGCTTTAAATCCTGAACCCATTATTTCTAATTTAGATAAACTTGAAGACTTTCCTGAATGTAACTTTTTAATATATGGAACTGAAGACATAAGTTGCTCACTTTTTTTTCCAATCCCTTATTTGCTTTGATTCAATATCAAACCTTTTTGCAGCAGTTTTTTTACTTTAAACTCTTTGTGCATAATATAATATCATAAGTTTTTCGTGAGAATACTATTGTCGTCAAAGATTTTTAGTAATTCTAGTATGCTTACAATGTTTATTACCAATTATCACCATAGTTAAATCAAAAAAAGTATTGCATCATATCTATTAACCTTGTTACCTATATATAGTTAATACTTTTTGCCATGTATTGTATCTCTATCACATCACAGTACCCCTCTAATTATAGTATATCTTAAAAATTTATGGAATATAAAGTATCTGAAATACTATAAAGCATGCTTTACGGTACTTTAAATTACATTTTTAGAAATGATTAACAAATGATCGTCACATACATCAGATAACTTTTTACAAATTTTTTCTTTTTAAAACCAAACCTTAATAAACTTATATTTAGACTTAAAAATTATATATTTAGATGCATTTTTGCTCATTTTACAAGTTTACTTAAAGTAGAGTGTTGGGTTTTACAATATAATTTGACTTAAACATTTTTTTTAAAAAATATGCTATATACTTTAAGCCATATATAATCAGTATAACCTGTCATACATTAAAAGTGTGCTTTTTCATCTCACGTAACTGAAATTGCAAATCATTTCTAAAAATAGAATCTAAATTTACTGAAAAATATTTTTTTTTTGTTTTGTTAATAAAAACTTATTACAAACATTATCTAATCTTAAAACTTATACTTTATATCTAATTTTATTTGCTTTGCAAGTTACTTTAAATACTAATTTTGTAAAATTATTATTTTGAAATGTTCATATTAAAAGTCAAAATCCATGTCTAAAACCTATTTTTATTGTTTAAATAAACTTGTAAAGCAGACAAAAATACATATAATACATAAGTTTATATTTATGTTCAAAGTTTTATTCTTTATTTTTAAGGATTATTGATAAATTAGTCATATAGGGGTGTGAAAAAAGTGTTAATGTTATTGGAATAAATTGGATATCTGTTAGGCATCATATGTTAGATCCAAACTATATATAAATTGTTAATTAATTTATGTATAATAATTTATATACTTATACTGTGTTAGGTTTGTTTTAGATTTTTTTCAACTAGACATTTATGATGTAATGAAATTATTCTAATATTCTACAATATTATTAAAAGTATCATAATAAGAAGATTTTTTGCATTATAAGTAATCCAAAACCTATAAAAATAGTGTAAAATTGTCTAGTTAGAATTTTTTATCTATTTTATATAAGAAAAATAAAATCTACTATTATGTAAAGCAATAAAACTCAAGAATATGATAATGTATTGATTTTTTCTTTTCCTACAATAATTATATTTATTAGAACTCTGAACAGGTTAGGTCAGGTCGGATAATTGACTTGACCTAACCTGATAAGATCAAATCAGATCAGACATAAAATTAACTTGAATTAAATATACATTTGATCTGACCTGATCTGATCTAATCTGACCTGTCTAAAAAAAGAAACTAAACAATTATTAATTTTATTTAATATTTTTTTAAAAAATATAAAAAAATATTGATACATTTTTACATTTGATTATTTTCAAAAAAAAAAAGATACTAAAATAATTATTTTAACTGCAGAATTTAAAATTACAAGTTACGATAAATCTGCAAATCTGGTGATTGATAATACAATTACAAAAAACGTTCATAACTTTACAACTATTAATCCAATTATAATAAAATATATATGCACATATTTTTGAATCTGCTGAACAACTTTACTTACGTGATCAAAGTTGATTTCCTTTGACTAAAATACTTAAATTGCTCTTTGAATCACTGTACAGATAAAAAATAAAAATAAAAAAATCTGTAAGATAATACAATTATGAAAAACATATATAACTTTACAATTATTAATCCAATCAAATGAAGAACTAAAAGGAATGAAACAGGTCTTAATTGAACGAAGCTTGTGAGAAAATGGTCTAAATGCCGATTGTCAATTGTGTAAAGATAAGATAAATGATATAACTCAGACTGATTGTTGTATGCGACAGATTATTTCATTACAACCTGATTTTTTGGCTCAAAAAGTGCATTGGAGGAAACAATATTAGAAGCTGAACATAAATGCATTTTCTATCTAAAGTTCCATTGTGAACTTAACTTTATTGAGAGATATTAGGGGGTTGTGAAAAGATATACTCGCAAAAATTGCAATTATTCATGGTTAGGCTTGCAACGTGTTGTTCCCGCAGCCTTAGAATCTGTTGATACAATTATGATAAGGAAATTTGCAAGGAAGGCATAGCGTTATATGGATTTATACAAAAATAGAATTACAGGTAAATTGGCAGAATATGTAGCCAAAAAATATAAATCCCACTGTTGTATTCCTGACTATATATTAGTTGAATTAAATAAATTTGAATAAAATGCATTACGTTATTTGATTATCTTTTTAATATTAAAGTCATGTGAAATAATGTAAAATCACATGAAGATCTACATTTTAAATTTCAGACTTTTGTGGTTTATAGATGAAATACACCATAATCATTTTATTTTAACATGCAATCTGTTAATCATTGTACGACAGTTTTATTAATTTAAATTTTTTTTTAAAAATAAAATAAAAATAAAATAAAAAATAAAAACAAACCAAAAAGAAAACTAAACGAGACGAAAAAAATAAAATTAAGAAACCGAAACGAAACTATAAAACGAAATTAGGAAAATAAAACAAAATGAAAATGAAACGAAATGAAAAAATGAAAAAGAAAAAACGAAATTAAATGTATGATACGAAAAGAAAAAATGAATGATACAAAAAAAAATGAAATTAAACCAACAATAAGAAAAAAAACCAAAATATTTATAACCTTGCAGGCGCGTCGCGATTTTGCCGTCTATTTTGGTTTTGCCTTGCAAGCTCGTCACAGTTTTACCTCCTGTTTCGTATTTGCCTCGTAGTAGGCAAATTACGATATCTCCTACAAGTGTGTCTCGATTTTAAAAAAGTAAATATATTTAATATAAATCTAAAAAATCATTTAAACTTTTTTAATTATTACCTGGCCTATCCCAGAA